CCCCAAAACCCCAAAACCCCAAAACCCCAAAACCCCAAAACCCCATTTTTCCTTCTGACGTTGAACTGCGAAATTTCTATTTTCGGAAATTGGTTGACTTGTGATAAGACTTTACCAGCTTGGAAGCAGCAGTCTGAAGGGGCTTTACGGACTGCAAAGAGTACTGGAAAGGAAGCAGGTTCAGGCTAAATCTCAATTAAGGCCTGAAGCCAAGGTTTGGAAGTGGCTTTTGGAAATAGGGCTTAAGGCATTTTTAAAGAACATTACCTGGGCTTTCCTAAGTCTAAATAATTACAAATAAGAAGTACTCTGTACGTTTTTCTTGCGTATTTTTGAGGAATACAAATCTTTGTAGTATTTTATTGAGCTTTGAAGCCTTTCTTCCCTCTTAGATCCAGAATTCAGCCCTTTTGATGCCTTTGAGGAAATGTGTATGGTATTATTTGAGGAATTTATATGACTTGGCTGAGAAACCTTTCCATAAGTCTCCTGAGCCTTCTCACCTCAATTTACCTGCGGCAAGAAAGATCTCTTCTGTATTATATTGGTCAGATCAGGCATTGAGTGGGTATTCCTGACTCTTTTAAGTCTTCTTTGTTTCTTTTTCTTCGGATTATTCAGCTTATTTCCTAAAATTATCCTAAAATTTACTTAATTTTTCCAAGCTTGTTAGGATATTGTAAGATTTCTCGATAAAGCTGGATCTGAGAATCTATCTCTGTGTTATACTTCTCGTTCTCCTTCCTGGCTTTAAGGAAGTCTAAGTGTCGTTTGGCCCATTCCTTCTGTTTAACTTTACGTTCGACTTCTCTAAGGAATATGGCTAGAAGAATACTTGTAGAACATGGCCATTTTCTTGTCTTGCTCATATTTCTCTTCCTCTGAGGAAGACCAGTCTCTTGCCTCGTCTGAGCCTTGGTTTTGCAACCCCAGATTTGTTTGAGAGTTGGTCTGGTTGATCTCAATTGAGTTTTGGCAGACCTCTGTATAATTTTCAGCAACAATTGTAGAGTTTAGGTGCAAATTTGGAATTAAGAGGTACCTTGATTGACAACTTTGATGTCATTGAGAGGTAACAGAAGAGCAGGCTTCCTCCTCTCAAATCTTGCTCTAGACCTGAAAGGTTATTACTAGGGATTACTCTTCAAACTTCTCAAAATGGACATCATTGTTGCTGTTTCGATGGTGTGTTCTTTGGATTTTCTTGATCTTGAAACTCTTGGGTGAGATCACAAAGGAAGTGCTCCTTGGCATAATTTGCCTTTTGGTCTTATCCTTTTGATAATCTAAAGTGTTGCTTGGTAAGACCTTACCTTGAGACACTCTGAGAGGGGCTAACTTTCCTTGGGTTTTCATTTATAAAGCGAAGTTTAACAATCTTTCGTAAGATAATTGGGGTTTTGGGGTTTTGGGGTTTTGGGG